TTACGTCATTAGTTTTTGATGTAGTGTTCCATGATTCATTGTTTGCATATAACACTCAGTGCTCCATTCAGTACGTGCCCTCTTTAATACCTCAACTTAACATAATAAAATTTAAAAAAAGGTAAAACAAAAAGCCTGGGTAAGATGTGGATAATAACAGGGCCCAACTCTTAGGGTTGTTGTGAGGACTGGGTATTATAATACATGTTCAGAGACTAGACCAGTGCCTGACTCAGAGCTCGGTTCACCATTTGATGTCATTGCGTCTTGTCTTCCACGGGTTCATCAGCTCTTGGTGAGCAAGGCACCATGTCTCTGCCATCTTTTGCCTAGTTTGAAACTTGCTGGGTATCTATTTGTATAATCCTCAACTTATATCATGAACAGTGCAAGAAAGTGTTTTGACAAATTTTAAACCTGTAATTATGTAACAGAATTAGCACCTTTCAAACATGTGCAGTACGGATAAAGATTGAACAAAAGGAACAGGAATGTGGCCGACACTGCTCTGGACTAACTTGTGAATTGCGTTATTTATGTGTTTAGAATCATATGGGAAATACTTAAAACGTTACATTGTCTTACAGATGTCTTTATCTTTATTTGTACACATACACACAAGTGTGTGTATACCCTATATATTTCCTAAAAATTGTTTCCTTTGAGCTCTTGAATGTAGCTGTCACCCTTATTTCTTTGACTTATTTTAGAAAGCAGTTAAGTCCTTGGGAAAATCACTTATGTCATCGGTGAGGAATGTCACCAAAATAGCTTCTCACTTAAGTTCCCATCGCCAGAGCTAACCCACAGGAGGTTCCGATAAATTCAAATATTTAATAACTTGTATTTTTCTTTCTCCTTAAACACAGGCCCTGTGGTCCTGGAGGCAGGATCATGTGGTGGATTGTTGGCAGTCAGCAGTCTGTGGAGCTTTTGCAGGTGCAAAGGATTATATTATACTGGGAAAGACCAAAGGGGGGAGAAAAATGTGAAAATATTAACTATGCAAAAACAACATTCTTTAGAAATTCCAGATTGTTTAGATGAAGAGAGTTCCACTAGTTGTTTGAGAAAAGAGAGTGTCTTAGGGGGAAAAAAAAATGCTTAAAAGGTGTCTGCTTGAAAGACAACCAATTTGTTTTTGACAAATTTTTCTTTTTCTTTTTATCTTTATTAAAGCCTTCACTCAGGCCCTTGGATTATCTTAAAGATGATTTATAAAGTCCTCTGTGGGAAGAGACTTGCCATGGGTGCGGGGCTCACTGTGCAGCTGTCTGCCTTGAGCAGGGCTTTGGGGCTTTCAGTGATTTCTGCAGAAGGCAATGATTCACGGTTCGTGTGACATGTTTGACAGTGCCACAGATTAACTGCTGTCAGGAGAGCCAAGGCTGCTCGGCAAACTTACGGAAGGCTAAACGGGTCTGGGTAGAAAATATGGAGATCGAAGCATCTGGGCATTTTCTAGACATTAAACCAAAAGTGAAGTGACAATATGCAATACTGTGTCATCCATCACCAAACTGTGTGCATTTTCCAGTGAGGTTGTTGTAAGAACTCAGGTGCTTTAAAAAATTAAATAAGTTTTAGCAGTCAAAGAGAGAAGTGCATTTTTCTGTTGCAAATAAAGGTAAGTTAAAATTACAGTTGAAATAAATTGAAATGGAAATTTGCCAGAAACTGTAAACTGCTAATTTTGATGTGTAGCCAGTAAATAGGTAGTTTTGGGATGTCAGCTTTAGTAGAAAATAATTCTTTTCCAATTTGTTTCATGGTTGTTGGATTGGGTTTTTTGTTGTGGTGATTAGGAAAACAGAAAACATGTATTATAGGATTCTTTATTAATAATTGGATCCATTCAACTTGTAGAATTGATAATCAAAAGTAAGAATCTTGCCTCTAGACACGAAGCAGGCTCAGATTGATTATGACGGGTAATTATTTCCACCTGACACAGAGTCATTAGCTGTGTTTAAATGAGTAGGTGGTCTTGAATCACTTTCCAGAGGTCAAGAGTCTTTACTCCCCCAGTCCTTAAGAGAAACGTGTGCTTTTTTTTTTTTACTCCCTCCAGGGGACAAAGTGAGCATTATGGAAATTTAGTCACCCTGGATAAGGAAGGGCACTTTCTAAATTCACCAATACCATAAAACTTCCATGGGATGAAGCAAGAAGTGTTCATTCTCTGGTCCCGTGGCTGAAGAGTAGCTGATTCAAAGATTTGCTTACAAGCACTGTTTCTATGAAGGAAATGTGCATTGGCTACAGTGTCTTTTTCCAAATAATGCTTTAATAAGCAGTTAGATTAGAAGCGGGGGAGGAGAAACTTTCCATCGGCCATCCACTGCTCAGTTACTATTTGAAAACCATTTAAAACCTTTATTTATTTAAAACTATTTTAAAACCTTTAAAACATCATTGAAAAATATTCCAACTTGTGAAAGAGTGATAGCTGGTGGGAATCTGTGGTGCCGCTGGGCTTTCCACATAGCCATTCCTCCTGACTTGCTGTCCCCCGCCGCCCCTCCCAGGCCTGTCGTGCCTCCCCGCCACCCCCCACATGCCCGGACTCTCCAGCCTCACTTGGCCACAAAGGCAGTGGTAAGACTTGCCCACATATCAGAAATCAGATTGTTCATCCTTGTGCACTTTTCTGGTTTTAAAATGGTTAAATCATCATGGATGAACCATCCTCTGTGCTATCTTTGGCACTCTTCTGTGCCCATGCTTGTTTTATTAACTACTTGGCACAAATATCCAAAAATGTCCCCTGAGATTGGAGGTGTTGATGGCTTGTCATGCTCAGAAATTCCCTTGGGTTCTGGTCAGGGGTTAAAGGAGGGGGAAAAAAAGAAAAAACAACTTTGCCAACTTCGTCACTGCAAGTTAATTTTTAAACATAAAACCATAATTCAACCTAAGTAATTATGACATTTGCTACTATAGTGATATGTGCAGAATATTCTGGTGTTCTTTGGTCAGTTTCTCGTAATTAACATCTACTTACATTTTCTAAGAGAGAAGGAGCAGGACTGAAAGACAGAGTGGGAGGAACTGAGAAAGAGTTATTCCCATGGCTTGAAATTCCAGAACATGGGCCGCCTGGATGACTTGGTCTGTTAAGCGTCCGACTCTTGGTTGCGACTCAGGTCATGATCTCATGAGTCAGGAGATCGAGCCCCACATGGAGCCCCTCATCGGGCTCCATGCTCAGCGGGGAGTCTGCTTAAAGATTCTCTCCCTCTGCCCCACCCCTCGCTCGTGCACATGCTTGCTCGCATGCTCTCTCACACTCAAAAATTAAGTCTTTAAAAAAAAAAAAAAGGAAAGAAAAAAGAAATTCCAGAATAGGGTGAAGGAATTAACTGGGTAACAAATTGAGAAGGCCTGGTACAACCTTGAAACACACACAAACCCGTTTGTTGTTGTTGAGGCCTTGTGTGTCTGTGCGCTCGTTGGGAGATGATGCACGGGAGGCGCGTGGAGATGCTCCTCTTGCTCCACGGCGCCTCCAGAGATGGTGGGGGGTCGGCGGGGGGGACACATGGCGGCCCTGCCCACTGCTGGCCCCGCCACCCGCATAGCCACTGCTGGGATGGGACTGGGACCGCTCCAGACTTGTTGGAGGAAGGGGGCCCCTTTGTCTGGGGTGGTAAAGAACCTGCATTTGTTCCCTAAGGACCCATGAGATGTCATTTCATTGTAAACACCCAGTTTCCCTTGAACCTGGTCTCTGAAAGTAGTTAGTTGAACATTCTCAGAGAGCCTCAGTCTGTGGAGCCCGTAGAAAATTGTTTCATGTGTGAGGCGAGCATGCAGGCAGCCTACACTTGCTGCACCGAATAATTATTTCCTGTCTAATATGTTAGCATGTTTCTCGTATTTATTACCAGCAGTTTACAGTTCCCTTAAGTAAAATGCAGAAAAGCACTGCATTTTAACCAAAAGCACAGGTCCCCGGCCCCCCTCCCCACTGTAACCTGTTATTCTATACGTGATCTTCACAGGCCCTTTTTGGCAGCCTCATAGAAAACATCGTGAGGGCTGTGTATTAAAGCAGTCCTTGATATTTGAAGACATTAAGATTGATTTATTGATAACCTTTATAAAATGCAGCTACCATCATAGTAAAATTAGGGCCTATTTAAGCGTCTTTGTTTTTGTCTTTGACTTTTCTTCATATTACGCATATGAAACAGCAGTCTCTAAGAGCATAGTGGCAGGCAGCCACAGTAAGGGGGAGGTGCGCTTTTGCTAATGACCAAGACACGTCGGATGCGCAGTACCCACGTTTACGAGAAGACACATACTTTTCAAAAGTGTAGGTAAGTGAGGAAAGCCTGAGTAGTCAGACAAGGGACAGGTGATGTCTTTGCCAACTTGTAAGTCTTTGAAATTGGTTTAGGAAAGTTTGCAAGCATTTTCTTTTCTTTTTTTTTTTTTTTAAGATTTTTTATTTGAGATAGAGAAGTGGTGGTGGTGGGGAAGGGGCAGAGGGAGAGGCAGAAGTAGGCTCCCCGCTCGATCCCAGGACTCAGAGATCATGACCTGAGCCCAAGGTAGAAGCTTAACCAACTGAGCCACCCAGGTGCCCCAGTTTGTGAACATTTTCAGATAGGATAATGGTGTATGCACTGCTGAGTTTTAACAGTCAGACACATTTTAATGTCTTATCACATACCAGTCATCATGTGGTCAATGAGCACTACTTTTAGAGCTAAAATGCATGTGACTTTGAGTCCCAGCTCCATACTGTGTGACCCTGAGCAAGTTGTCTGTAAACGGAACCGTAATCCCCACGCGCACAAGCTATGATACGTACTGACGGTACCCAGCACAGTCCCACCGCACCAGGTACGGAGTGGGCCCAAATGTTCACTCCAGGCTTCCCCTTCCTCTGCTCTTCTAGAGGACGAGTTGAAACCTCGGGTCTGTAAAACTAGACACCTGTCCCAGGCACCTGGCAAGCCTTTTTGAGTGCCTGCTGTGTGCACTGGGCTAGAGCCATGAAGGAAAATCACACATTATCTGTGCGCTTGCAGGGAAGAGCCAGGCACTACCCTAGACACTTGGCACAAGACTCATTTAGTGCTGGTGTCATACTCTTACCTGCTTTTTACAGCTGGCTCCTAGCACCCTCTGTGGCCAGGAGCTCACGTTCTGGAGTCGGGAAAGCTCACGTCTCAGCTCTGCACTAAAACCTTCTGTGAGTTCTGTAACCTCACTGAGCCTCAGTTTCCCCACTGGTAGCATGTGGTAGCAGTTACAGAAGTACTTGTCTCCTAGGGTACTTTATCTAGAGAATAAGTACAGTATTTAAGTACAGGATTTAAGGCTTGGTCTTTCGGACTCTTTCAGAGTTCTTCCAGGCTGGGCCCGGCGAACCGTTGCAGCCAGTGAGGGACACAAAGCCGAATACTATCAGATTTGGGGTGGGGAGTTTGGGATGGTACAGGTTCATTGCCTGAAGTTGAGTAAGTACCTGAATTTCAGGCAGCTTTTCAATCTGGAGGAAAATGTTTCACATGTTCGTAGCACAAAAGTGGCTAAAACGAAAGGGGACTCTAATATTCATGTAATTGATCATCTGTAGCCCTGAGGGGTGTGTCCTTTGTGAGTAACCCAAAAATGGGACATAAAAGCATAAATGGGTACATCTTTCAAAAAGTCAGTGTCCTAATACATGCTACCAAGTTCGGTGTGAAGATTTCAGCAACATGTTTAGAAAGATAGTTGGCGGAGATCAGATGACCTTCACATACCATGAACTTCAGAGGGAGACGTGCTATTTCTGGAGCATCCTTCATACATGTGTTGTGTTCAGCCCCTATGAAACTGTGCAGCCTAGCTCATGGAAGCTGAGTCTTGAGAAAGCCCTTCTGGGTTTATTATTTCTATCTCCTTAGGGCCTTTTGGGGTTTAAAAAACTTCTTTGTATCACACTAAATAAAATATTGACACCACTGCAGTTTCTGTAAAAAAAAAAAAAAAAAATCCTCCAATTCCCCTGTCTGTAGGTATGGATATTAAAATGTGTGGATTTTTTAGATTTTTTTTTTTTTTTTTTTAATTTGACAGCACAAGTAGGCAGAGGGAGAGGGAGAAGCAGGCTCTCTGCTGAGCAGGGAGACCCGACGTGGGGCTTGATCCCAGAACCCTGGGATCATGACCTGAGCCGAAGGCAGACGCTTAACTGACTGAGCCACCCAGGTGCCCCAATGTGTGGATTTTTTAAATATCAGTTTGGCAGTCATGGTATTCCATGGAAGAGAAGGTGGGAAGGAAGCTGTGGGAAGATTGCCTGTTGAATCAGGAAGCAGAGGGCGGCCTAGAAATGTAGTTATTTGGCCTGGCCTGTTACTTGAAGCCTGCAAATACAGAAAGCTTTATCCTTTTAACTCAAAGAATGTAGCCATTAATGCCGAAAGTCCCTACAGCACTGTGCATATTTCTGTTGGCCCATTTTGTCTCAGACCAGAAAAAGTAGAAGCATTTTGGAGTCAGAGTAAAGCACAGTGGTCCGTGGAAGGCATGGGCCTCTGAGAAGCACCAGGAGCAGCGAGCCTCTCATACTGACAGTGGGTGTCTGAACATAGACCACAACCACGTACACACACAGGGTTGTTCTCCACAAAAGAGCAAGATGTATTATGGGGTCTTGTTTCCTCCCCCCCCCCGCCCTTGAGTGTATAAAGCATTATCTTGTCATCTCTCTTATGTGCGCCTCACCATCACTACAAAAGCCACGGAGCATGTGGATTTTGCACGTGTGGCTCCTCTTGAATCAGCCCAGGGGACGTAATGATAAGGGGAGTGATCTCGGTAGAGTTAGGAGGAATGAGAAAATGAAAGTTGTAGCAGACCGTGTACTACAGTAGCAGGACCTCCTTTATGTGTTGGGGACTTTTATATGCGCAGGTGGATTTGCAGCTGCAGTCACCACACCTCTGGATGTGGCGAAAACAAGAATCATGTTGGCAAAGGTAAGCGTCAAACAACGTCATGTAGACACAGCAGACGCTTGTACGTGGTAGCCCTGGGGCTCGTCTGTGTATCAAGGGAATCAAAGCAGCATGACCCTGACTGTCGTGGCGGCCTGAGCGGCCTGCTGCACAGTGCCTCGCACGGCCGCGGCTGAGTCCGCGGACACTGCCGCCATCATGGTGAGCAGGGCGTGCAGCACCTTACCTTCCCGAAGGCATCCTCGCCGGCGTCGTGTAAGCAGGCGGGGCCGCTGGGGGCCTCGGCCGTAATGCCACCTTCCGGGTAGCTCTGTTTTCATGGGCGGCAGACAGGAGGCTGAGAGTTAACTGGCTTGCTTCCTGCTGTGCGGCAGGTAAGCTAGAGGCTCTGAATTCAGACCGAGTTTGGCCTTAACTGGATGAATCAGGACAGTTGTCAAAATTAAGGACATTTTTCATTAAAAAGAAAAATTGTTACAAAAAAAGCTAGACCAAGATTTCATGGCATGCCCTGCACATAACGTATCTGGGGCACAACCGTGGAAAAGAAAAGGTCCTACCCTTAGGGAAAAGTGGAACAGTGAGCGTGGGATTCTGTTACATAGGTGGACAAGGCCAAACCCGAGAGAATTGGTCCTGTTTTAAATGGAACATCGTACTCTTTATTAAATGTGTTTATTAGCTACTCAGGTAAGTTCACAATTGGACCGTATAGACTGATTATTCCCCATTCTTCTCCGAGCAGTTACTATTGCTTTCGGTCTTTCTTCCATTAAACAGCAGTTGGCGAATTACCTAGGTGAGCTCTGCATCCAGTTTGATGATGCGAGAACCTAGGAAAGCAGCTTCCTGTCAGGGCTTACCTGTGGGTGGGAATGGAAGGGCTTCAGGTCCTGTGTGATCCAGGGGTCCTGATGCCCGAGAAGCTCCCCACCCTGTTTCAGACTGTCCTAGAAGAGGGTGGTTGGGAGCCGTGCATCTGAGGATCAGTTGGGGAATTTCATAAGATAATGGCTTTGTCTGTTGTCCTGTTGCACAGGCTGGTTCCAGCACCGCTAGTGGGAATGTGCTGTCCACGCTGCACGGGGTCTGGCGGACACAGGGGCTGTCAGGGTAAGCATAACAAGGAAGGTGAAACCGCCTTTCCGCCTCTTCACGGGCTCTTCTTCCTTTAGCCTGAATAGGATGAACCCCTTTCCTTTCTTCTGATCGTCCTGGTTGGGTCTCTCTATTTACATTTGCACAAAACATATTTGACGTTGCCTGTGTGAGACGCTAGTGCACAGTCAAGTTGACGCAGTGTCTAGCCACGTGATCACCAGTCTTGTCTGTCTGGATGTTGGAGGACATCCGTGTGCCTGCTCCCCCCTCCCCCGCCCCTGGTTCCAGGTTGCAGCTCTGAGCAAACAGGATTGCAGTTATGGAATGCAGGAATGCAGGCGAGCGAGGGTGGCATTTAGAAGAAAGCACTGGTCACTGGGGAGACACTGTGATCAGTAACAGTTACTTCCACCGCACCTCGCTTGAAACCCGCTTCGTGCTGTGCTCAGTGTCCAGACTTCGAGCACTGTGTCCTAAAACGCTTCCTTTGCCAAATGTGCTTTCACGTTGCTTTTACCATCTGTGCCGTCGCCGTGTTGGGGTCTGTACGGGGACGTGACACGACAGTGTGCTCTTCGGAATGACCTACCAGGGATTCTCCTGAGAGCAGAGCCGCGGCCGCCTCCTGGAGGGCCAGGCGGCAGCGTCGTGGCGGGGTGTGGCTGCTGGGGACAGCGTCCGGCCAGTGCCACCTCCTCTTCCCAGTGCTGTGGGGATGATTCGATCGTAGGGTCGTGTGCATTTGACAGGTCTTTCTTTCGGGCACTTGGTAGTTGGGGAACATGAGGCGTATTGGTTAGGACGCAGGTGAGGTTTCTGCAGGAGAATGGCCCCATCCTCTCTTCAGAATATCCAGCCGGTAGTTTGAAAAGTAGGTCGTGTTGGGTGGTTTCGTTGAATGGGCCAGCTCTGATGGACTGATGGCGGTTGATGATCCCTTAAGGATTTGAGACAAGAAGTGGGTGTAACAGGAAGGGGTGCGTAAGCATGAGCAGGGGAGCGGCAGAGTGGGGGCGCATGTGCTGCCCTTGGCTACTTACGGCCAACACGGCATCAGTACGAATCGGGTTGCTCGTACCTTGGACGCACTGATTTTGACACGAATTTCACATTGATCAGTGAAATGGTGTGAGAGAAGAAAGAGGCCCTAAAGCCACTTCTTAGTAGCAGGTAGAAGATTCTCGGTGTTTCAGGTAGTTTGGGGCCACACAGAGATGTTGCGTGCAGCTTTTTTAGACCATAAAGTCAAAATGCTGAATTTCACGGCCCTCTTTGTTTCACTCTGGCTCATAAATTAGGTTTTATGGCAACTCCCGGTCAGACCTCCGCTCCTGACTTAGCTCTGTGGGGTCGGTATGGGGCTGCAGTGCATCGGCCTGAGACAGTGGCCAGATGTGGATACGGCAGGATGGGCAGAACCCTGGCCCCCGGGAGCTTGTGGAGAAGGAATTCCCGTGAGGAGATGATGGAACCCAGACCCTCCCTATCCCAGCTGTGCCGTGTGCTCAGGGTTACGTAACTGGGCAGCGCCAGAATTAGAGGCAGAGGACGGGCTCCGTAAACATGCCCAGGGCCCCTCTGTCCCCACACCAGCCCTGAAAAGGTCATTGGGAATTCTGCTTATCGTCTCGAGTCTGGGGCTCTCATGCGTATACACAGTGGGCCCTTAGCAGGGTATTCCAAGCAGCCATGCTGGTCATTTAAGAAATGCTAGTTTTTACTAGCTTCCTACTAATAGGATAAAAGGCACCAAATAATTTGACAACAGAATTGTAACTCAAGGCAAACAAAACAAAGCAAAAATCCGCGCTGATGTGGGCCACCATTGTAAAACCGTTTCTGGGTGTCCCAGCCTGCCTCCTCTGTCTGGTTCCCCACACAGCCCCCGCTGGCCTTCCGCCACCTCAAAGCAGCCTTGCGTGTTTCTGAGTGTTCCCGTGGCCTCGCAGGTGCAGCTTCCCCACCCTGCAGGGAAGGGCGCTGGCCTCTCGGGGACAAGTGGGGACGCTGTGGTCTCCATGTTGGTTCTCACAGCGGAAGACCATGTTCTGGCACCTACTTGGAATATATGCTCTCAGGCCAACTGGTTTCTCCCAAATAAAAATACCACCCAGTCAGTCAGTCCAACAGCCAGAAAGCAGATGGGGAAGCCTGTTTGTCCTGCATTGCGCCTTCCTCCTTGTCCTGTTCCTTAACTGGCTTTTTGTGTTTCTTGACTGTGCCCTTCATGGAATGATCGCGGCCACCCCGCGCGTACCCCTGCCGTGCCCTGTGCACTACATTCGTTTGTTCCCTCACGTGATCCGTGGTCCCGAGAACACAGCCCCACTCTGCTCGAGTCTTTGCCTCCTCGTTCGTTGGGGCGCCCACTGTACAAATGACTCTGCTTTAAGGCTATAATTATGTTAATAGATTCAATTGTCATCTAGTGAAACCAGAAACCGCTTCCATCTGTCTCTTGCCAGGAGCAGCTGAGTTCATTAGCAGCAAAAGCTGAACCAAGACACGGGTTTCAGAAATAAGTCAGCTCGTGAGGGAGGGAGGCTTTCGTGGCAGAGGTGGTCTTCTGCTGACCTCCTTCCCAGCACCCTTCCCTGTGCAGGGAGGGCCAAGAGGAGGCATCTGTGTTTCAGGCCAGAAGGTCCCAGGGGCCTTGGTGAGTTTCTGTCCTCACCAACCACCTCATGCAAAAACTGCATGATGCTGAGCTGAAGAACTTTTTCCTCGTATAGTTTTCATGGTTACTTCTAGACAAGAACAAGAGGTTCTCATCTTATCTGTAGTATTTTACTTAATGATTTAAATCCTTACTTCCCTAACTGAAGGGCCACCTAAGGCTAAGTCCGTTTTCCTCACAAGTGCTGAGTGTGATACTCAGAGGGGAGGCCAGGTGACCTGTCCTGGCAGGCATGCAGAAACGGGGGGGGGGGGGGTGGTCTCATCTGTCCACTTCCTTGGCTCATCCCTATTTAGTTTATGGTGGATGTTTTTCCTCTTAGAGGTTATGTCTTTTTCACGTAATATGACCATTTTCACTTTTTTCCCCTAGACCTGATCCAAAGCGTCCTCACTACTAGGCCCGCTAGTTCTGATTTTTACTGCTTTACAACAGTAATACTCTTGGTAAAAAGGCTCACTTATTCTAGAAAGACAGGTAGGGACTGTTGTCGTTGTGCCCTCCAGAGAAAGTTGAGGCCTTGGAATACATGCTCACATCCTTGCTGTGATCACACGTACAGCTTTGGGACTTCTGTCAGAACCCACTGTGCAGAATAGGTCTTGGTTCCTGTGGGCTGCCCCAGAGGGGGGCTCTCCGCAGGCGCTCTGGTACCTGCAGTGCCGTGAGGAACGTCTCTGAACACATACCTGTGCGCAGCCACAGGATGGTTTTTAAAGAGTGAACCTCCCAATTTGCATCCCCAGTAACACAATTGTTCTTTTACTTTGCCTTTGTTTCTTCCAAAGTTGCTCCTCTGACTGGCCTTGTGTGGTGTGTGGGGACTGAACCTTCGAGGAGGTGCTGTCCCCAGACCGTTGGTCTTTCTGGTCCTTCCTCAGAGAAGACAAATAGGCAATGCATGGAGATTCACTTTCCTGTTCTGGCATCACATTTGTGGACCTCTAAGGACAAAATGCAGCCGAGAACTCTCCACCACTCGGAGCCCACCTTCCCTTCCCAGGGTGGGCCACGGCGCGACCCAGGACTCAGGCTTTGGACTCCTTTACCAGTCCTCATCTCCCAAAGACAAAACCGGCCTGGAAGTTTTCAACAGAATTGTTGAGGGGACAGAGTTAGTCTTTCTTGACTAATTACTGGACTTAATTGTGAGGCTCACAAGTAAGCTGTTTGGTATTTAGCCACGTTAGCCAACAAACAGCTGGGCCCAAACTTCAACAAGTCTACTTGGGAATGTAATTTAGTGCCATTCTGGGAGAAAAACGCACACGCTCTAAGTGCTGTGTGGGGTTTAATGAGCATGGTGTGCTGAGTTGAGCAAGCTGTGGGTGTTGGAATTTAACCTTTTTTACACACACCAATTTAAAAGAAATCTTTCCTCCTGCTTTTTTCCCTCCCTAGATTATTTGCAGGTGTCTTCCCTCGAATGGCAGCCATCAGTCTGGGAGGTTTCATCTTTCTTGGTGCTTATGAGCAAACCCGCAGCTTGCTGCTCTTGGAACTTGGCAGAGAGCGCCCCTGAATCAGGGATGGTGCCCCAGGCATGGCTCTCAAGAAAGGGGGCGCCGGGGGAGCAGCCGCACGGTCCCCCACACTGGCCTCGTGTGTGAAGATGGGGACCTTGAGAACAGTGTCTTCCCTGCTGTCGGATGGCTGGCATGCTCACGTGGAACTCTGGCCACAGCGGTACTCCCAACCCTTTCTCAGGCCCCTGAATAAAGCCGTGAGGTGATGCTGAGTCCAGGCTGCTTAGAGCCTTCATTTGATCTGCACCTGATCTCGCATTTCCCGACCGCGGAAGGCAGAGACGCTTCTAATTCCGATGGGGAGGCTGGACCGGGAGCAGGAAGGAAGGAGACTCCGAGGGAAGGTGGGGCCCGTGGCTGGGTGTCTCCCTGTGGTGGTGCTTAGGGCCGTCTTCTGGGCAGCCAGGCTGCTACTCTTAATTTCCCTCAGATTTCCCCTAAAAACACGATTGTAGTATTTTGGAGAGAAGCATCCAGCAGCCCACGTGGTGTGTGCGAGAAAGCAAGCAGCTGCAGCCCAGGGCCTAGGTGGGCCTGGCTGGCTCCGGGGCAGGAGGGCATGGCGGGCCCACTGGGGGCCTGAGCCCCACTCCACGCTTCTCCACGTGGGACCCAAAGGAGGGGCCTGGGCCGGCCGGGAGACCAAGCACGGCGTCTTCGTGCCTAGTCGGGAAGGTATGCTGCGCAGTCCTGGAAATGAGCCGGGATAAAATGGGGAGGTCACCATTTCAGAGCTTGACTAATAAGCTCCAGGTGTTTGTTAGAAGAATTCAAAGAGAAATCTTAGGAATCTAGGGGTGGTGTATCTTCCCCGGAGCAAAGAAGTGTATGATTCTGCTTTGCCGAGAAGAAATTTTCCTCTTTTTTGGGAAAACATAGATCATTAAAGGCAGAATAACTGCATTTGTAAGGGAGTTTCTGGAAGGGAAGGGGGTGAAACGGTGGGTAGAAGAATGCCCCCAGGCACACCATCAACATTTATAAATGAACCTTTATTAAAGACACTTCAACGCTGTTAGACACTTCAATATTTTACATGTTTTTCAATGTACATTGTACCAAAATTTCTATAAATAAATAACTGTACATAAAAGTAATACTTCCTCTTTCACATTGCCTCTCAGAAGCAGCAAATTCACATATTTTGTGGAAGTAACATTAATCAGTTGACTGTTGAGAACACAATTCTAAATGTGCTTACCTTTTAGAACAGTGATGACCCCGGACAGTAAAATTATTTTAACAACTATTTTGTCAGTCTCTACCTTCAGCTTTTTGGGTAAAGGAACTTACTTACTTGCTTTCTGAGATTTTTTAAAGGACCTTGTTTCAATGTAATTTTTCCTGAAATACACATTGGCACTCACAAGATGGTTAGCTACAGGTCTCGAAAGTGCAAATATACCCAGGTCGGGGGCTTCGACTCGTTACGGTCCCAGCCCGGGTCTGTCTGTGTGAGGGAAGGACGTGGACAGACGTGCTCCGGATCCTCAGTAGAGAGAAGCTAGCCCTGAAAAGTAAGGACTGGACCCTTTCTCTCCCCCCTGATCAATGTCACGTGAATTATATTGGCAGAACTAAAACCTCACTATTGAAAAATCCACAGGTACCAACACCAGCAGCCTCTACCTTAGTAAAATAAGCCTCAAAGGACAATCGAGTGATACTGATGACCACCACGTTTGCTGTTCTCAGAGAAGGAAGGAAGGCAGTGCTTCACTGTTTGGAACAAAGGCTTGCAGTGGATCAACAAGACCCCTTCTGCTCGGCAAGGAACTTAAACTTACAAGAGCAAGTCCTGTAGGGCAGAGGTACGGGGCGACTCGGGCATCTCGGGACGCTGCGGGGAGGCGAGCTGCTGGAGCGTTACTGACGGGAAGTGGATTCCAATGCGGATTCCAATGCACATGAAGGCCCGGAGTGGCCCGCATCCCAGGGTGTTGTCCTGGGAAGTGCAAGGCAAACCCCAGGCCTGCCCCCCCTCCCTGCCCTCCAGAAACTCCTGGGAGCAAATGTGGTTTTTAGTCTCTACAAATTCCATCCATGCATTAAGGCACCAGAACTCTTCCCCACCCCGCTTCCAAAATTAAACAGCAACCTGATATGAAAAATAATATTGTCAAAACTGTACTTTTTTTCTGTTAACCATGCACTACAGATTAAAATAGCCTCTGCAAAAGATATATAATATATAGGAAATCTCTGAAAACTCTTATGTACAAGGGTATCAAGTACTTTTCTGCTTTTGTACACAATAGCCTCTTGCAGTTCTGCACTTCAGCTGCAAGTCCTTTAAACCACGGACACTCCACATGGGAGTTTAAAAACTCTGTACACGTCAGTGACGCTTGAACTCAAGCTTCCTTTACAGCCTCTCCTACCTCTCTTTCCTGTAGAGACGGGCACAAGAGCTGAGGTAGATGAAGCCTAGATTTTCGGTGCGAAGAGCAGGGGCACGCCCCGCTTCCTGGGGGGCTGTCCTGTCAGCGCTGGGGACTCGGGGCTGGAGTCACACGCCTGGGGGAGATGTCCGTTGGAAAGAAGCAAGTGCTGGCCTTCACTGGGGCCCTCGGGAAAGCCCGTGGCGGCTTCGGTGAGCTCAGGACTGCTTGGAGTTAATGTCGAGGGAGGCTGGAGGTCTCTGGAGTCTGGCTCACACAGCCTTGCTAAAGTCCACGAAGAGGCCCCTGTGCGAAGGGAGAGGGCGCGTCAGAGCCTGCAGGCTGGCTGCTTACCTGGCCCCCCTCCCCCTGCTGGTGCCGCCCTGGGAGACCGTGAATGTCTGCCTACCTGTCCCATCTGCAGGTGCCAGTGGCTTTTTCTTCAAGGATGTCCGCATTCTGTCGTGGTTACTGGGGTAGAGGGACCCCCTGCAGTCGGTGCGGGACCCGTCAGCTATCCCAGGGGTCAGATGAGGCAGAGAGTGTTCTCGGGCCGTCTGACTGGGCTCCTGGCTGCTTAGTGTCCCTGGCTGTGTACTGTCTCTGGGCACAGGCGGAGGATAGACAGCTTGTTCCTTGCAGTAACCGTCCGTGTCCGTGTTGCAGTCCCCACACGCCCCCGGGCCACCATGCTCTGCGAGAGCGAGCCGAGACGGATTAGAGCCACGGCCACCGAGGTCTGCATCCCCGCCCAGAACAGGGAGCTGCAGTCCCCGGCTAAGAGACCTGAGCCCTGCTTAGACCAACTCTTTCAAACCTCCCTTCTCCCCAGATGTGGTCCCAGAAGGAGGACTGGGCAAATACCAAGCCATTAAGGAAGAATGGGCACTCCATGTTTCAATGGTTCAGATGAACTGCTTCATGAGAGAAGATGATCCTACTGTTTTGATCACAGAAAAAGAAAATCCCACTGCATGACATACCATGTTGTCAGGAATCTTCCAAATAATTAGAAATATAGCCTCAAAAATAGGCCTGGTGAAAAGGTACTTTAAGTAAAGCGCAAGGCCCAACCTGAAGTGCTTATAAATCTGGAAAGTTCAAGCCCAGGCTCACCACACCACAGATTTATGTGAGACTTGCTACTTCAGAATTACGAGAGCCAGGCCACAGTGTCCTGTTTCTACACCGAATACCAAATTCTGAGATCCTCATAGACCCATAATGCATCTCTCACTTTTATTTAATGAACAGGTCTGTTTGAATTTTGATTTCAAGAATGGAAGACTTTGGAAGAGCATCTCTTACCCATCTTCTGCGGCCCAGACCTCCGCCGGGCTTTCTCCATCACGTTCCAGGGCTCCCTGTTACAGCCGACGCAGAGCTTGGGCTGCCTGCACGTAGAGCCATGAGCGTCCACTTCTGAGAAGAGGCTGGTGTCTGGTGGACAAACACCTGCAGTAAAATGATGGGCTTAGCTTGTTAGGGTGAGCTTGATGAGAACAAGTGGCGCTTACTAGAACAGTCCCTTTTACACTGTTCTTTACAGCGGTAGGTGCCTGCTGACCAGCAAGAAGCATTTGTAACAAGCTGCCCCACAGGCAGGCCTTTCAGTGTCCGGGGCCAAGCCGGTGAGCGGTCCGTGTGAGGACGGACTTGCCCCCTGTAAGCACTTGGTCTCCCCTAGAGGTAGCTCACCCTGGGAGAGCTTTCTAGTAGCAGAGATTGGACCACAGAGCAGACCTGGGCCCATGCCCTACTCAACAAATGGATTGGTTTCAGGGTCTGTAATGGCCTTTGTAGCTTCTTCAATCCTACCTTATCCTGACCAGGAGATGCTGAGCCCAATATAGCAACTTCCTGGGGGTTGGATTTTTAAAACCTTGCAGAACATGCATAGGATAGGGCCCCTCCCCAAAAAAACAAAAAAACAAAAAACCCCAACAGAAGGCTTGAGTCCGCCAGCCTTCGAGGTCAGATGCGCTCAGCATTAAGGCCGTGCACCTGCCCTGGGGAGGGGCAGAGGCTCGTGAGGACAGGGTCACAGCAGGCTTTGAGGCCTTACCGTTGATCTCGATGTGTCCATTGGCCTGAGGGCCACCCTCTGTCCTGATCACAGTTTCCTGCCGGTCAGAAAGAGTCCCCTGAGATGAGAGGTAGCTTGGAACATCCGGTGGCACAATGGTTTCATCTGCAAGGAGACAGGACAGTCAGATACCAGGTGTCCCTCATCCTTCGTGGGGATTAGCCGTGAAAACACGGGCTCCCTATCCGGCCCGGACATGAGGCTTTGCCGAGAGCAGGCTGTGCAGAGATGGTCTGGAGGGCCCAGCTTAGCCACACTTTCCACTTGGGTGTAAAAAATACAGCAGCTGGAGCTCTGAGCCCATGAGAGCGCGAGCGGGGATGGCGAGGGAGCCAGAACCAGCAGAAGCACAATACGGGCGGTCACCGCAGCAATGAGCGGCTGGCGCAGCCCCGCGCCCTGCCTCCTCCCCACATAGCACCGTGCTTCTCTCCTGCCCTGGGGGCCTGAGCTCAGTCAGCAGAGGCTGACCTGTGTTGGTGACACTGTACTCCTCGCTCTTCTTCCGGGTCTGGTAGATGATGCACACCCAGACCAGGGACGTCAGGACAATGCTGCACACCACGGCGATGGTGAAGATGCCCACGGTGCTGCCGTCCTTCCTGCAGCCGGGGGCGGGCCGGATGCTCAACTGGCTGTGCGCGCGCTCCGTGCCCAGGGTGTTGGAGATCTCGCACGTGTACTGGCCCGCGTCCTCCACCACCACGTTCTGGACGATGAGCAACTGGTTGCCAGGCGTGAAGTGGTGCCGCTCGGTGAGGCTCAGAGGGCGGCCCCCCTTTAACCAGGTGATGCGGGGCGTTGGGTTCCCGGTCGCTTTGCACTGGAGTGCCACCGTTTCTCCCATGGACACCACACGGTCTTCTAGGGGCACCACCAAGGATGGGGTTTCTGCAAGAAGTCAGAGGAGACCGGACGGTTATTCTGGGGGTCTGCCCTGCCTTCCGGACAGATCCTGTAGCAGAGTGGCGAGCTTTCCAGAAGACCTCACACGATGACTAAATCACGACCATTCTGGGGGGTGGCTGTGACCAGAAGGAAGAATTACTGAGCCAAAGAGAAGCCCCCTCTCTCCCCCACCTGTCCTGTGCCGGGCTTGTGTGTCTCTTCTTCAGCAGAACACAGCCCTCCAGCCCGAGGGCAGTCTGAGAATGTTCCATAGCAAAGCCCTATGAAAACCACTCCCTTAATTAACTTCAAAACAAAACAAAACCACTTGTCGAGCTGCTTTCTAACATTTTCTGGAAAGTTTTAAACAGAGAAGCAGCCTGGCACGCTCAGTCACAGCCCGCCGCCCGGAGGGGTGGCGCCCCTGCCCCCTCGGCACACGCGCGGACTATACTCAGTGTGAGAGCGCTCGGACCAAAGACCGTCAGGGTGGCGTTCGCGGAAACGGTGCCGGCCGAGTTCTGGGCAGTGCAGCTGTACACCCCCATGTCCTCGATCTTGACGTTCGTGATGAAAAACACGTCGTCGTCGGGCATGACGTGCATGCGTCGCTCACGAGCGGCGGGGAAGTCCGTGCCTCCGTCCTTCTGCCAAGCGATCTGGGGGTTAGGATGGCCAGTGGCAGCACACTCGAGGCGGGCCGTGGTGCCGGTCCGGATGGCAATGTCGTGGGGGATTTTGGTGAAGGACGGCAACACTGCAAATACAAACGGTGTCAGGCTCACAGGAAGGAAGAGCTGGATGTAAAGGCCGGGACAGTCCTCTGGTGAAGAGCCCCCCGCTTGGCGGGTGGCTGTCCCCTCCCCACCCTCTTTGCCAGCATCTGAGAGAGCAGTCGGCTCCCCCAAACTGCCAGCCTCCCACTCCCGTGGCTCACTCTCCTCACCCCGAGGCTGGCTAGCGCCCCCTCGCGTGCAAACCGTTTATGAGGCAGTTCCCCTAAGGGCACAGCCCATAAATACTGGGGTCTGACGCTTGCCTGCCTCCATTAACCACTAGAACAGCCCGGAGACAAAGGGATCTGCTCGGACAGGACGTAATGATGGGGAAGGAGGACATGCCCTCGCCCTGGGCAGAGTTCCCTGTTGCGGAACCCCGTGGCGGAGAGGCGGTTCGGGGCCCCCTCACTGGGCACTGGCCAGCTGTAGGCAGCCGGCTAGCTTTTTTCTGCCCCTACTCCCTGGCCCAGCGGCAAGCACACGCCAAGGCACCACTGCAGTTCCCGTCGGGGTTACTTCAGTGGCAAGTCTAACAGCTCACGGAGCTTTTGATACAAAGGCCTCCTTCAGAATGAGCCAACAGGCACAGTGGGGTAAAAGAATGTGTTTTCCTGTGGTCTTTCAGGGCTCTGAGACAAGGTGGTTCCAGCACTTATTACCTGGAGGCTTAATAACCAGGTTAGGGTGCTGGGGTGCTTAACTCCTCTGGCTGTTGGCTTCCTTTATTCTGCCCTAAATTCACTGTGACAACTAGCAGCCCTGAGAATAGCCACCTTGAGAGGCTCTAAAGCTCAGAGGGCAGGAGCTTCCCCACAATCAGGGTATGCTCGGAATCTGGACACCGGACAGCGTGGTTTGTGGAGAATAATAAACGGATAAAAAGCACAAGGCTTGGGCCCATCATTTCATTTAACATTTAAAAAAAAAAAAAAAGTCACCAGAAACAGGAAAATCACCGAGAATAACCCTTCAATCTACAGAACTTGCTCTGGGGCCCCCGGGCAACTAGGGACACAGTAATGTCCCAAAGAGGCTCAGTGTCTCTGGTCTGCAGCCTTCCTGCACGGGCACAGAGAACCACGTGTGGCTTTGGGGGATCGCACACCAGAGTAAACCGCACTGCCTCACCGTTCACAACGAGCCTGGCCTTGTGCGAGTAGGTGGAGCCGAAGTGGTTGGTGATGACGCACTGATAGCGGCCCTCGTGTCCGAACGTGACGTGGCGCAGGTGCAGGATGGTGGTGTACTCCATCACCTTCCCGTCCTGGGCGCGGACGTGGGCGAAGTTCTCCATGTCGGCGTTGGCCAGGGCCTCGTTGTCCTTCTTCCAGGCAAACGTCATGGGGGAGCTGCTGCTGCTGGCAGCGGAGCACGTGAACCGGATGTCCTTGCCCACGATGGCCACGGTAGGCTCTGGCTGGGTGATAATCTGTGGCTTTGGTAGGTCATCTGTGGAGAGGAGAGCCAAGCTGAAGAGTCTTCCACCCGGGCTCTCCGACCACACGGGGGCTGCACCTTTCAGGGCCTCTGCTCACCCTCAGCCCCACCAGACCCTATAAGCGCCTCCCACCGTGGATATCTGGCCTTACCCGACTGGAGACCCCGGAGCAGTGATCACCTCCAGGACCACACTCCTTGACGACAAACCCATCCACCAGTACTCGTGTGTCAAGGCATACATCTCAGGAGTCTCCACAAGACCACCACGGTGCACTTCACTTGCTCACTTCAACACAAAGCGCACTAACACAGAGTCCGGAACTGTCCGTCGTGACTGCACAGACCTTACCCACCAACTTCACTCCAAGAGGAGGGGAGTGAGGAGCACTTCCAGAATGCGAGACAGATGCCTCCAAAAATCTGCACCTCCGTTAAAGCCACAGTAACACTAGCGAAAATGGCTCTCATCAACCTTTTCAAAATTCTGGAAAGCTGTACCAAGCAAAGGCTGTAACAATGCATGGAGGGTTGACTCAAGAAAACACCTGAATCTCAGGAAGGAAAATGAGCTTTGTGGCATTTAACTTGGCTTAAGTCCCATCCCTCTCTGCCTCGCTTTGTGGTAGCCTGAAAACCCAGCAGCCGAGTGACCACTGGCGGGGGGGGGGGAGGGAGGAATGGCTGTGGAGCCCCCACAAAAGCCCCATCCTCTGGCATTATTTGAGCTGATGCAGTTGGCTCAGCCAGGGAGCCCTGGCCCTAGGACATGGGACAAAAACAAGCGGCAGCCAGCGGTGAGGCAGTATCCGCTGGAGCCAACAGGAGGCTGGCTCAGAAACCAGAAAGAAAGAGAAAGCGGTGAATGAAAAGGTCCAACATGTTCCTGAGAATCTAGAAGGCCACGTGCACGTGCAGGGCTCTGTGCATGCCCGAGAAAGCCCTGAGAGGAACCTCATTTCTCACCTGTGATTACGGATCGGTGCCAACAGGAAGTGGCCACATACCCTCAGACAACAGAGATGCTGGGCAGAGGATGGGAGACGTTCTGAGGTGACTGAAGGGTTCTCTGTCCAGTCATTAGCTAACCAGGGAGGCACTTCAACCGCTGCGTAGAACAGACTACAGTATTTGTCCAGGAAAGTCACTCAACAAATTGTAATAATACATAGAACAACAACAAACCAGGAACAAGACGGAGGGAGAATCTGATCTCTGGACTTGCCACATTATTGTAAAGGCTCAGTTTCCAATAAAAAACTACAAAACATGCAAAGAAACAGGAAAAAAAATCAGTCAATGGAAACTGTTTTTGAGGAAGCCCAGCTTTTGACTTAAAACTTTAAATTGGCTTTATAAAATATATTCAAAGAACTAAAAATCATGTCAAAGAAAATTAAAAGAAAAGTATCTGAATACTTTCCACCAAACAAAGAATGCCAATAAAGAACTAGTAATTGTAGAAGTAAACCAAACGTAAATGTGGGAGTTTAAAAGTATAATAACGGAAATAAAGAATTCACTAGAGGGGCTCAAGAGCCCCACTGAGCAGACAGAAGAGCTGGTGAAATTGAGACTATCCAATCCAAGACACAAAAAGCCAGGAAGGCTAAGGAACAGTCCCAGAGACCTGTGGGACAGCCTCAAGCATAACAACATACAAATAATGGGAGTCCAAGAAGGAGAAGAAAGAAAAAGAAACAGTATTTGTAGAAATAATAGCCCCAAAGCTCCCAAATTTGATGAAAAATAGGCACCTACCCATCCATGAAGTTCAACAAATCCAAAAAGGATAAACTCAAAAATCCCCACCCAGAAACTTAATAGTCAAACTGTCAGAAGCCAAAGACAAAGAATCTTGAAAGGAACAGGACAGCTGCAACCCATCACATAGAAGGGATCCTCAGTGGCATGAACAGCTGATTTCTCATCGGAAACCATGGAGGTGAATAGGCAGACCCATTCAAAGCACTGAAAGAGTGTCAGCTATGAATTCTGTATCCAGCAAAGCCGTCCTTCAAAGGTGAAGGAGAAATTAAGTCACTCTCAGATATAAAAACAGAAAACCTGACAGAATTCACTGCTACCAGACCCGCCCTACACGAAATACTAAAGGGAATCCTTCAGGCTGAAATGAAAGGACACAGTAGTAACTCAAATCCACACAAAGAAATAAAAAACACCGTTAAAATAACTACATATGTAAGTATGCAAGTACATATTTTTGTTTATAACACTCTTCTGTCTGATTTAAAAGGCAACTACATAGAGTAATAATCACAAAACTGTTGATAAGCTTATGATAAATAAAGATGTAATTTATTGGACAACAGTACCATAAAGGAGGAGCTCCACAAATGGAGCTTAGTAGGAGCAAAATTTTGCATACTACTGAAGTTAATTCCATTATTAATCTGAACTAGATTGTTTTTTGTTGTTTTTTTTTTTATTTATTTGACAGAGAGATAGACAGAAGAGCACAAGCAGAGGGAGTGGCAGAGGGAGAGGGAGAAGCAGGCTCTGCACTGAGCAGGGAACCCGATGCGGGACTCGATCCCAGGACCCTGAGATCACGACCCGAGCCGAAGGCAGACGCTCAACCATCTGAGCCACCCAGGTGCCCCCTGAACTAGATTGTTTTAAGATGTTAATTATAATCCCCACATCAATCATTAAGAAAATAACAAAAAATAGTAAAATAAATAAGGGAATTAAAGTGGTATATTAGAAGACATATAATACAAAACCAGTCAGTAATGAAGAAACACAGGAACAAATAACATAAAACACATAGGAAACAAATAGCAAGCAGCAAATTCTATCTTACCAGTAATTACATTAAACAAATCAATTAAACCCTCTAGTCAAAATGCAAGATTACCAAAATGGATAAAAATGGATAAAAACCTATGCTTTCTTGTTGTAAGAGATACATTTTGGATTCAAAGTCACAAATAGGAAAACAGTTGCCAAAAGAGAGTTACCGTGTCTATACTAATACCAGATAAAATAAACTTTAGGACAGAAATGGTTACTAGGGAGAAAGAGTAACTTTTTATAAATGTAAAACAATCCATCCCCAAGACCTAAACATCAAACATATATGCACCTAACAGAGCTCCACAAAACAAGAAGCAGAAACTGACAAAACTGAAGAAAGAAATGGACAGTGAGTGCAACAATAGTTTGTAGAACTCAATACTTCACGTTCAATGATCAGATAAAACCATTAGAAGATCAATAAGGCAACAGGAAACTTGAATGACACTATAAACCAAACAGACCTATTAGATATCTACAGAACATTCCACCCTACAACAGCAGAATAAACATTTTTCAAGCACATGTGGAATATTCTCCAACAGAGACTGTATGTTAGATTAAAAAACAAATCTCAATAAATTAAAAAAAAGACAGAAATCATACAGAGTGTCTTCACTGACAATGGAATGAAGCCAGAAATCAGTATCAGAAGGAATACTGGGAATCTAATTTGCAGAAACTACACTGCTCTTCTGTAAGTCAAAGAAGAAATCAAAGTCAAAGAAGAAATCGTAAGAAAAATTAGAAAATACTTTGAGATGAATGAAAATGAAAACACAGATACCAAAACTTAAGTGCAGCCTAAAACGGTGCTTCTAAGAGATTCAGAGCTGTAAATGCCTACATTAAGGAAGATCTCAAATTAATAACCTCATCTTATTCTTTAAGAAATCAGAAAAACAAGCTATACCCAAACCAAGAAGAAGGAAATAATGACTAGAGCAGAAATAAAAGAGAAAAATAGAGGGGGGAGAAAAAAAAAAATCAATGAAAACAAATGTTACTTCTTTGAAAATACTAACAAAATTGAAGAATCTGTAGACTCGTAGAGTGGGGAGGTGGGGAGAAGATTTCAAACACTAAAATTAGGAAAAAAAGAGGGTACATTACTACTATAACCTTACAGCAATGAACGGGAATACTATGAATCATTTGTATGCCAACAAATGAGATAACCTCATATATGCACAGATTCTGAAAAAGACAAATTACCAACACTGACTCAAGAAGAAATAAAATCTGAAAAGATGGTAACACATAGAGAAACAGAATAAATAATTTTAAAACGTCCCACAAAGAAAAGGCCAGACCCAAAGGACTACTCTGGTAAATTTTACTCAAAATAAAAGAATAATTACCACTAATCCTTCACATATTCTTCCAAAAAGATAGGTGAGGAGTAAACATTTCCTATCTCCACTGTATGAGTCAAGTATTCCCAGATAACAAAATTAGACAAAAACTGAACTACAGACCTTTATGAGTACAGATGCAAAAATCTTCAATGAATACACTGGTAAACCAAATCCCACAAAAAGGATTATACACCATGATCGAGTTAGATTTATCCCAGGAATGCAAGGTTGGTTTAATATCCAAAAATCAATGTAATACACCGTATCAGTGAAGGGGGAAAAAATCCCATGTGATCACCTCAACAGATGTGGCAAAAAACATTTGACAAAATCCAACACCCTTTCATGATAAAAATACTCAAAAAATTAGAAATAAAAGGGCATTCCTCAACCAGATAAAGGTCATCTATGAAAAACCCACAACATCGTATCTAATGGTGAAAGACTGAATGCTTTCCCCCGAGCCAGGAAAGACAAGGACGTCTGCCCTCACCACTTCTACTCAACACTGCACTGGAGGCTCTACCCAGGGCAATCAGGCAAGAAAAAAATAAAAGCTATCAAGATTGGAAAGGAAGTAAAACTCCTGATTTCGGCTCAGGTCATGGTCTCAGGGTCATGAGACTGAGCCCTGTGTAGGGCTCCATGCTGGGTGTGGAGCCTGCTTAAGATTCTCTCTCTCCCTCTGCCTCTGCCCCTCCCCACCCAGGACTCTGGGCTTGCTCTCTCTCTCTCAAAAAAAAAAAAAAAAAGTACTGATACATACTAAACAATTATGCTGTTAAAAAAGCTAGTCACAAAAGACTATATTGTAGGATTCCATTTATACGAAAGATCCAGAACAGATAAATCATAGAGATACAATGTAGAGTTGTGGCTGTCAGGGCCTGGGGACAGGGGAGGATAGGGTGTGACTGCTGTGAACACAGAGTTTCCTTTACGGGTGATGAAAATGTTCTACAAGTAGATGGTAGTGAGGGTTATACAACTTTTCCTTATGATTGTTACAGTATCATGATACAACCATCTTCACAGTAAATATAAAAACATTCTCTCATGCCCTCAA